CTGCACTAGAAGTGGTCTGCCGCTTCCACACCAGACCACCCGGCTGATGTTTGACCCCTGGGAAAGAACAGAAAACGTGACCACAGGCAGTGGGCCGGGACCACAGGCTTCTGCTCCACAGAGTAAAATCTTCCCAGGAGGCCTGCCTTGGCTTGTCTGTCATGCTGCCGGTGAAGGGTGAAGCCAGCCGTCTTGTTGAGCTGTCCTTTTCCTAATGTTTTTTCTAACAGATCCCTGCTTCTCTTCCCTCAGTGCTATTCCTGGGGTTTGTTTCCCAACAGTGTTCTGGTGGATCTGGGGCTGTGATGGCCCCTCTGGGCACTGACCTTCCCTCTCTCTTGGGCTCAGGGGTGAAGGAATCATTTTTCTGAAAGTGACTGCTGCTGTGGTGGCCTTCAGCTACTGCCATCGCAGCGTGAGCCCTGGGACAGGCTAGTTGGAGGAAGGAAGACTTCTGAAGGATAGGGAGTAGCACTGGTTTAGTTCCTACATGACAAGGTACTTAACGTCTTCCAAGATGGGGGGGCAGGGGGAGAATTTCCCCCTTGGGTACTGGGGAAGTACAGGTCTCTTTTATATTGTGTTGTGGGGGTTTTTTAAGCTGGGATTTTATCAGTTCTGAAGTCTTAAAGCATCTTAGCTTCGGGGTGGTAAATCTCTATTCGGAGTGTTGCCAAATGAGCTTAGGGAAATAAATCCCTACTTTTAATATGGGTAATGGCAGTCACTGTAAATAATCCTCAACACCATTGCATCCGTAGTTTGTTTATGCAGAATTTATCTAAGGGAAAATACTCTGCTCTTAAACAAAAAGTCATGACAAAATTAAAAAAAACTGATAAATTGGAGCACTGAGGTTTTTCCTGGTTTTTGCAGGCAGGGTGGGGAGTTGAGCTGTTTGGTAAGGGTTGCATGTATGCTTGTACTCAACCTATTCTAGCTGAGCTACGGTTACTTACAGCTTATGTTCTGTATCTTTTGGTAACACAGTATATTCCTAATGAAAACACGGAACCTGGTGCTTCTTTGCCTATATGCTTGGAAAAATATCTAGTGTATTTAATGATTTAGGAAGTTCAGGTGTTAGTCCCTGAATCAAATTATGGGTAGTCAGATGCTGAGTGTTGAAAAAGAAATATGTTTTGCAAACAATCAGTTGCTGAGTGAACATTTGCCCTTTGATGGGAAGTTTATGAATATTAAACACCGGGCTTGCGAGACGGGCTGGATCTGAAGTCCCTTTGAACTCAACATGCACAGTAGTGCAGGACTCGAGATCAAACATTGCTAGTGAAAACAGTATGCAACTAGGGCTTGTTTTAGATGGGAGCCCACAGCTTATTGTGGTTTTATTCAGGAAAGGCCAGGTGGTGAAGTAGAACGGGGAAAACATCACAAATCTGTAATGGACTTCAAAAGTATCTATTAAGAGCTTGTAGCAAAAGCTAAGATTTTAAATGTCCTCTCCACTCTTTCAAAACTAGTCAGGCCCATAATGACAGTCGCATTGGTCTAGCTGTAAATGTGGGGTTTGGGGGATATTTTTTGCACTGTTTGTTCTTTTTTCCAAACAAAACACCAGACCTCAGGTGGCTCTTTTCTGGCACTTGCTGTGCTCCTAAATACAGGAGTGTTTATGTGTTCCTCAGTGAAATAAGGCTTAACTTTTTTTTAGCCTAAAGAGCAGCCAGCTAGTTAACAATCAAAGATTACTAAAGTGGTGGTAAGTAAAACAAACATTTTAAAGTCATGTTCACCTGTATGTGGCTTTTGCAAGATCTGGCTTTAACTGAGGTCACTTGCTTCCTTGACCCAGTGTTATTTCTGAGAAATGAGTACAGCTGTCTGCACTGCAAGTTAAAACAAAACAAAGCTCTGGAGTGAGCGAAGAACTGGCCCTGCTGGAGTTGTTCCTCTTCCTTCAGAGGGGCATTAGAATTGTAAAAAGCACTTATCTACGCATACCTGTTACATCTAATCCTTTCTCTTGGAAGTAGATGGGGTTGCAAGGTGCTGCCAACCATTTCAAAGAGTATGATGGAAGATTGCCTTTTAAACTACACTGTAAAGCTTTTTTGCTTTATATTTTCATGTAAAACATCTATGGCTTTCAAAATGCTTCCACGAGTGCTCTAATGTCTTAGTGCTGCTATTCTAGTGTTGCAGTACTGTGCATACTGTGCTGTCTTGGATGGTGCCGAGTACCTCGAGTGTGATTGTTTTCTCCAGCTCCTCTGCAGCAGGCCTAGAACTCTTATGTTTGTTTGCAGCTCAGACTTTTTCATAAAAATTCGTATTTTTATGTAGCTACAAAGATAGATATTTATTGAGGAAATAAGTTAGTTTTGCTGTGGTTTGTGCTGTCTTGGAGTTGCTTAGCCGTGGGCAAAGGTGTTACCTTAGAATCACAGAATGGTTTGGGTTGGAAGGGACCTTAAAGACCATCTAGTTCCAACCCCCCTGCCATGGGCAGGGACACCTTCCACTAGACCAGGTTGCTCAAAGCCTCATCCAGCCTGGCCTTGAACACTTCCAGGGATGGGGCATCCACAGCTTCTCTGGGCAACCTGTTCCAGTGCCTCACCACCCTCTCTGTGAAGAACTTCTTCCTGATATCCAATCTAAACCTCCCCACTTTCAATTTAAACCTGTTACCCCTTGTAAAAAGTCCCCCCCAGCTTCCCTGTAGGCCCCAAGGGTCTTGGTCTCTGCACATCAAGATTAGAAGTTCAAAACTGTGCTTTTGAAGGGCTTTTTTAAACTTTTACTTTCTCTTAACTTTTTCTTTAACCCTGACCAGAGTCAGATGGAGTTCAGCGTTGCATCTCTGTCCATCCAAGAACAAGGTGGTGCCCAGCTGCAGAATGAACAGAGGCAGCCCATTAAAGCAGCACCTGGTGTCCAAGTCCCTAAATCTTCTCAGGCCGCCAAGACCCCTGGCTCTGATGGGTTGATAGCATCCAGAAAGGAAGAGGAGTCCTCTTTCTGGAAGATAAATGCAGAGCGCTCAAAGTTCGAAGGAGACAAGTCTGAGTTCCAGTCCCTGACGCCCAGCCAGATCAAGTCCATGGAGAAGGGAGAGAAACCCCTTCCCTCCTTTTACAGACAAGAGTCTGCTCCAAAGGAGATGGCAAAAGTGGAGAAGCCCAGCATAACTAAACCAGAGAAGTCTGTCACCCCCAGCCTACCTTCTGTGTCTCTCGAATGGGAGAAACCGCGACCCACTCAACTCCCCGTTAGTTCTCTAGATGACTTCCTTCTTCCTGACCCACCACAGGACCTGGCATGCTCTAGGACAGACAAGGAAGATTCTGATGGTACTGTACTTACAGATCCACAAATGCCTGGACAGGTAAGGACTGCTGTATCCTCTGCCCTTAGATTTAAAAACTGCAGAGCACGTTAAAATCAGACAAGGTCGCTCTGGAAGGTAAAGCATTAAGCCATAGCTAAGCTTTCTGGCTTTCTATCCTGCAGATTTAAAGAACTCTATTAAACCAACATGTTAACTGCTATTGTTTGTTTCAGTCAAGTATTTTTAATATAGTAAAGTGCACAGGAAAAGGGCATTATTTAAATATAATAGCAGCAACACTGATATGGCATCCAGTGGCTGACTGACTAGCAAACTACCTAACAGTTTGGTAGAGAATAGCTATATCAAGTAAAAGAAGGTGGGTTTTTTGATGTTGGTTTTTTTTTTTCTTGGATCAGCAAAACACTTGATGGAAAAAAAAAAAGTGTTTTACCTTGAGAAGCAGATGAACTGGAGCCTAGGATACGTGCACATGGCATAGCGGTGTGTAGCACAGCATAGCTGGTTTCTCAGCTGTTTTCGGTGGTAGCCCAACAACCGCCTCCCAGTGTTTTGTCCCAGGCAGCTGGGCTGCTTTCAGATGTGTTTTCTCTTGAAGTCCAAAATGGAAATGGAATGAGATTCCAGAATTAGCCTTCTCAATGTTGTTTTTAATAAAAAAAACCCCAACCACTCAACCAAAAAAAAAAAAACAACCCTTAAGCATCTCAATAGCCATTTGAAGCTGTTTAAAAAGCAGATGCTGATCTGTGAGAAAAGAAGGGGAACAACAGGATATGGTGAGGGAAAGCAAAGGAAGAGAAGCCTGAAAACTGTGAAGTAGAGGAGTGGCTGTTCAAGCAGAGCTGTGCAGTTCTGTTTGGAATCCGTAGCATCCCTGTGGCATAAGCCGCACGTATTACTCTGCGCCTCAAGCACGTTGCACAGCTGCTTCTCTACCGTATTTTCCCAACAGCGGTTGCTTCAATTCCAAACAAGATGATGTGAGGTCAGAAAGATGCAGGATGAGGTAAATACTTGCAAGAGAAGTAAGTGGCAGCACTTGGGAGAGAAGAGTACTTAAGCCACTTCAGTATTTGCAGCCCTGTGTTTTTATTCCTATAGCTAAGGCATAAGGCTTCTTGAGCGGTTTTGCTACAGATTGTGACCACAGTAGTCTTGTAATTTTAGCTAAAGGCTTTGTCATGTTTTCCTACGTATTAATGGTTTGTTACAGTTGTAATTCCTTCGTGAAGGTTGTCTAGCTAACTGAAAAGCCTGGTTTTTCTCCCTTTGGAGAAACAATCCTCCCATGTCAAAATGTGTACAGTACAGAGTAGCAGAGAAGGTAGTATGGTGAATCTTCTTTGATTTCTTTCTGGATTATCTTCCCTGTTCTGGGGAAGAGAGCCATGCTTTAGCACTCGGCTGCATCCCTTGGGTCTTCCTGAACACTAAAACCACCTTGAACCTCGTGGCTGAAAGTGCAGCCCTGCAGGATTGAGCAAGTTCTCTGTAACCTAGTAAAGAACTTGTCAACAAGGTTTAAACTGTGTCATTTTCTGGAAGCAACTGGCTGCCATTCCAACAGGCAATCCATTGAATTAGTGGCGCTTACATTCTGCGTTTGTTTCGTTCTCTGCAATTCCCACTCCAGTGGGAATCGATCTTTTACGATGCTCTTCCTTGAGGGGAAAAAACCCCAACGTTTTGCCTCCAAACCATTACAAGATTTTTATTAGGAATTCCCTTTCTGGTTGTGAGTATTTTTCCATGTCTGGCATTTTTCTGGTGGAGGCTCTTAGGAATCCTAGAGCAAGGTGAAAAACTTGGAATTTTGGCAGATAGTATATTAAACTTCCTTTTGTAGATGTCGAGTACTGAGTTTGTAGTAGCATCGTTAATCACCATGTCTTACTACTTTTCTTTTTTTTCCCCTTACAGACTAGTACAAGCAATGTTATCTTGAAGACTGGCTTTGATTTTCTAGACAACTGGTAAAAGATACTTCAAAATAGTTCAAACCAATTTTGGGGAAGGCGTGGAATTTTCCCCTTGTATGTTAATTTACTAGCATTTGTGTCTTTTCTTTTTTTTTTTTTTCCTAGAAGTAACTTTCAAACTCTTAAATGTTGCCTTTGTATAAACTTTTGTAATACCATATGCATTTTGGGGTTTCCAACAGTGATAGAAGTGTGGTTTCATTTGGGTATTTTTTTAAATCGCTGTTAAAATTTTTAGTAGCTACTGTGTTGAGAGGATGGGAGAAGTCACCCCCTACACGTTAAAGAAAAACGAGAGTCTCCGTATCCTAGAAATGGAGCCTACAGGACCAGATTGCTGTTTTCAGTCAAAACCTTGCTAGCATGGCTTGTAAGAAATAGCTTCCCACGTGCGGGGTTTCCAAATAAGCAAATAATTCCATACTCCAGGTAACTAGCAAGACCAGTGGGAAGAATAAGCGTATGGACAGATTGCATTGATTTCTGTTTCATTTGAAAGTCGCTTCTGTACCACTTATTTGAAAACACTTTTCTTTTGAAGAGGGCAAAGGTGTTGCCAGAATGATGGATCTAAAGAAGCACCGTGTTTGTACCCTACAGATCCGCTAAAATAACGCAGGAGTGTTACAAAAATGACGGGCGTTTCTGGCCTTGAGATTGAAGACTTGGGGGTTCGGTGGCAGGGAATGGGATGACACCCAATGAACGGGAGAAACTGTCTTCAGGGAATACAAGCCTAACGGTTTCTGGTTTCGCTGCCTCCTTGCTGGGCATAAGTCCTCGTAGTTGTAGTGCTGGAAGCATGGCACTGGGAATTGCTGGGGTGTAGGTTACCTTTTGTGTCAGGAAACCACTATGTTTATGGGAGGTTATCGCAGTATAAGGCTTCTCTGTTTTTTAAGCAGCTTATCGTCTCAAGGACTCATCAACTTTGGTGCTTTTCCCTCCTTGTGGGTACATTCTCTTCAGCGTCCAGCATCCCGGGTGACATTCGTTCCTGAGGCGCAGAGGCATCTGAAGGTGGCCCTCGGCCGACTTGCCTCCAGTTCTGCTTTCGAATGATCTTTGTTTGGTGTTTAAAATGTAGAGAACAAGACTAGCTGTCGTTTGAATCTGTCGTCTCTGAAATGCAGCATGATTTACACACTGACTCTCACTGTGTTTACCTCACCTTGAAGCCTTAATTCCCCCTACGCACAGCCAGCGACTGGTCTGCTCCGATGCCAAAGGTCTGACCTTTCCCGTTACCTCAGCAATAGTCCCATAGCGTTTGTTTGGGGTAGAAGGCAAAACACCGGGCTGTAATGGGTCTAAAGGGTGCCAGCCAAAGCTCTACAAGAAGGTCACCACCTCCCAGACCGTAATTGTGTAGGCTTCTCCTGGATTGGCACTGGGCATTTGGTTCAGTGCCAGGGGCAGTTAAACGTGCGGAATTGGGTGCTGCAGGATTTTCTCCTGTCTGTTACAGGAAGAGTTGGAGGTGTCCTGGAGGAATCCTTTCCTCTAATAGGTGTGCTGCTCGCTCTGAACAAGCAGAAGATGCCGATAGAGCAGTAAAACTTACTTGCTGATCAAGGAAGATGCTGTAAGCTGCTCCCTCCCCCACCCTAAAAAAACCAGAACCACCAAACCCAAAACCTCCAGGTTGGTTTTTATTTTTCCTAGTGTTTTCTTAAAAGGTTTCTTAGCTGAAGGGGAAGATGGCCACAGCATGTAAGTCATGGCGTAGCCTTATTTATAGACTTCCGAGAGCAGCTTTACGGCCTTCCCGAGAAGTACGGGCTCCGGTAAGGCGTGGATATCGTCTCTGCATTCAGCCATTCGGAAGATACGTGGTGTTTCTACCAGCTGGGAGTTCACTGCTGGTGTTTTATTAGCTGACCTTTTTTAGCACCTGCTACAAGCACCCGGTGTTAATGCAGCTTAGGACGACTTCAGCACAAATTCTTTAGGTGTGTAATTAGGATCGACTTGCACCTTGCTTTCAGAGCTGACAGGTACTAACCCGGGGTTTTACAGTTACCAATGAATCCAACTTTCTGTACATCCAGCTGCTGCACAGTTGCAAATCCAACCTAAAGGTGCGCGTTCTAACCTTACCTTGATTCGGGGAGATCTGACGGCAAAGTCTCCTGCTGCTGAGGAGGGTTATTTTAAACCTCTGCTCGGCACATTAAAGCTTCTTAGGGAAGAACCTGGGCTGCCTGACTTGTCCATCGGCTAACCCGACCCTCATACACATTGGGACCAGCTGGTAGAACATGCTGCACAACTTTTTACTTATCCTGGTAGGTTTTTCCTGTGCTTTGACAAGAGTTGATGCTCCTTCTTTCTTTAATATGTTTTTATTAAGCATTCTTACAAAAAAATTGTACTTGGTCACATTTTATATTAATGATGTTTTAATAAAGTCACTTTAAATAGAACATTCAAGGGTTTTGTGCTGTTTTGTGCGTTGTCCTTAATACTCCACTTTCTTCAGTGCCACTGGAGTTAGAATCATCATTAAATGGTTTGGGTTGGAAGGGACCTTAAAGACCATCTAGTTCCACCCCCCCTGCCATGGGCAGGGACACCTTCCACTAGACCAGGTTGCTCAAAGCCTCATCCAGCCTGGCCTTGAACACTTCCAGGGATGGGGCATCCACAGCTTCTCTGGGCAACCTGTTCCAGGGCCTCACCACCCTCTCCATGAAGAGCTTCCTCCTGATATCTAATCTAAACCTCCCCGCTTTCAATTTAAACCCATTACTCCTTGTCCTGTCACTACAGGCCCTTGTAAGAAGTCCCCCCCAGCTTCCTTGTAGCCCCTTCAGGTACTGGAAGGCTGCAATGAGGTCTCCCCGGAGCGTTCTCTTCTCCAGGCTGAACAAGTTGTTGGGGGCATCTTCAATCTGCCTGAGAGGCAGCCAAGAATGGCTCTAGAATTTAGAAACTTAGAAAGTGAGGCTGTTGAGGGAAGCATCTTTGCCTTACTGTTTTATCTGGCAGCTGGGGACAGGAAAAGATTTGGAACTTTTATGAAGACTAAAATCTATGTGTACTTCATGGTAATAGACATCAACCTAACACGTGCACCCCCACCCCCCAGTACCGTCAGGTAAGCCAGCGCCTGGATCAATCCTGCAGGAGGAATTTGTAAACTGTCTGTCGTGGTTTGACCCCGGCCAGCAACCGAGAAGGGCGCAGCCGCTCACTCGCTCGCTCCCCCCTGGTTGGGATGGGGTTGAGAATCAGGAGGGTAAAGGTGAGAGAACTCATGGGTTGAGATAAAGATGGTTTCACGGGTAAAGCAGAAGCCGCACACGCACGCAAAGCAAACCATGGAATTCACTCACTGCTTCCCTCGGGCAGGCACGCCATACGTAGTGCAGACAGCCAGAACTGGCAAGGATGAACTTTCGTGCAGGTTCCCTGCCGGCTGGTGGGTATCTGTGGGTTTGAAAAGCACGCCAGGGAAAGGAAGGTGCTAGCAGAGGCTGCCAGGTAACCTCGCTTTCTGCCTTTTGTCTTCTGCAGCAAGTTCTCCAAGTGTAAGAGCGC